TGGCAGCCTCCCCTCGGCCCCCCGAGCTGCCGCCGCGACCTGCTGCGTAGGGTTGGCTTCGTGTGTTAGGGAAACACTTGAAAGTCTTAAATTGTCTCTTTCCCCCGTTCTGAGTCGTATTCTTCTTCACTTAATTTCTTAATGATTTCTGGGCAGGTACTCACCTCAAAATCATAGAATCATAGAATGTTTTGGGTTGGAAGGGACCCCTAGAGGTCATCTAGTCCAACCCCCCTGCAGGAGCAGGGACACCGCTATCCTTATATCCAGTCTAAACCTACCCTGGTTTAGTTTAAAACCATTACCCCTTGTCCTGTCACAGCTGGCCCTACTAAAAAGATTTCCCACATCTTTCCTATAGGCCCCCTTTAAGTACTGAAAGGCCGCAATCAGGTTACCCCGCAGCCTTCTCTTCGCCAGGCTGAACAACCCCAACTCTCCCAGCCTGTCCTCATAGGAGAGGTGCTCCAGCCCTCGGATCATTTTTGTGGCCCTCCTCTGGACCCGGTCCAACAGGTCCGTGTCCTTCTTGTGCTGCGGGCTCCAGAGCTGGACACAGTACTCTAGGTGAGGCAAAGGAAATTCTTTCGACAAAGGAATTTTGTCTTAGAACGTCCAATGAGCAATTGGTGATGGTTTCGATAAAAACGCACTAACATCAGGGAACCTGTCCTTCGCTTTCAGAATCATTGTATTTTGTACAGAATTCGTGTTATCAGCTTTTTACTGAACTCCAGCCCGAGAGCAGCTGCCTTCGGCTTGTTCATGGTGGCCTGCGCCAAGAAGCTGTGCGGCAGCACTTGGCGTCATCTCTGCACGGTTGTAGATCTCCAGAGGGAGAAGGGAGACAAAATTCACTCCGCTGGTGGGCCTTGTCATTTGCTTTTCTTCCAGATAAAACAAAAAAAAATAAAAATGGATTACCTTGAACTTGTTGCGCTGGAATATTATGTTAAATGAGTTAGTACTTTGGCAAGTAGTGTAATTGGCCAGATCTTCCTCTGATGTAAGTCTGTGTAATTGCGCTGAAGTCTGTAACCCTCACTTGGCATAATGAGAAATGGCTCCCTTGTGGGAAAATTATGTCTTGGTGATATTGTCTCTTCAAAAAAAACCAACTCAAACCACAAAACGTACTTAAACATGCTTTGGAAACATGAACTAGATGGCCTCCTGAGGTCCCTTCCAACCTGAGTGGTTCTGTGTCTCTATGCTGCTGCTGTTTGTTCATACGGTGTTTTGCAGAATGGAGTCCCAGTTCCTAACTGAAGCCGCAGCGTGCAGGGCAGTGATACAGCCTGCTGAGCTGGGGGTGGTTGAAGTAGAGCGAAACACAGCCACAAGGTCGAGTGGTGTGTTACAGCGTAGGGTGTGCTGCTGTCAGCCTGGGTTATTGAAACAGCCTCAGCCCTCTTTTCCTCTCTGTGGCAACCCCAAATCTGCCTGAGCACTACTATCATGCTACAGATTGCACGAAAATAGCCACTGGTAAACCCCGAAGGCTGTTTTTCATTGTATTTAGTGCTTTTTTTACACATATCACAAAGATTTTTGTGCAACCTCTCATTTATATTTGTTGATATTTTTTTATCTTAAATTGTGTAACGATTCTAACTACTACTACCGTTTCTTCTCCACAGGTGGAGAAGCTGAGGCACTAATGCCTAAGATCTACATTTTCTTGCTTGCTTGACTTGCAAAGCAGCAGCCCACTTCTGCAAGACTTCTCCCAACACTGAAATCTAACGAAACAGTGTTAGTGTGTTTTGGTACTGGAATGATGACTACTCTAGAAGGTGATTACTAATTGGTTTAGGTTCCTCTTATGCTTGACTGTCTGAAGTCAGCCCCCCTCAGCCATTAGATCTACTTACATTACATATTTCTGCTTACAAATTTTGGCAAGATGCCAAGATGTTGCAAGGGGGTTTGGAGATGTAACTCCCATTGTTTCCAGTCTCGTAGTGAATCGGTGGAAAGGCCTGAAGGAGAACACAGCTTATTTGATCCCATGGCCTGGCAATGGCTTTTCTTTTTGACCCCTTTGCTTCAATGCAGGATTGCTAATATGATGTATAAAGAACTGTTTTTCTTCAGCAGCTTTAATTTTGACATCAGCTTGTCCTGAAGCTGATCTGTGTAGCTCAGTCGAAAAAAACTCACTTGGGGAAGGCTCTGGTGCCCTCCAGCATGGTATGTGGTGCCATGCCAAGCCCTTAGGCGGCAGCAGCAGGAGCATGGCCATGTGGAGCACCTGGAAAGTGATGGCTGAGAGCTTGCTTGCCCAAGTGCGAAGCCTCCCTGGTGTTGTACTTGAAAATGTGATGAATGAAAGAGTTTGGGATGCCCATGGGTTCAGAAGAGAGCCAGTGCTGAGGTGAAGCTGCTCCAGCATTTGCATACATAGATGGAGTAGCTCTGCTTCCTGCTGTTGCTGTGCTTCTTGTCATCTTTCCTCTGGGTCTTCCTCTCTTGGGCCCTTTTCTGGGGCTGGAGGGGGCATGGCTGTCTCAGGTTTTTGCATATTGCTCTCTTGACAAACAGATGAAGTGACTTGAGATTCATGAATCTCAATCTCATCGGTTACTTCGAACATTTTGGTTGGTTCCTGTAAAGCTGACACCCTGATGATTCTTTGATTCATCACTTATTTCCTGTCTCTTAAATGTTGATGAACTGACTAATGCCCTTTTATTATTCCTCACTAGCTGTCAAGAAGCAGCAAAATTATACTAGTGTACATGAGGCAGTGAGAGCTGGTGATGTAGAACGGCTTGCGTCAATGATAAAAAGTGGAGCCAGTATTAATGAGGTGGATTTAGTCCACAAATTCACACCGTTACACTGTGCTGCACACTCTGGAAGTCTGGAGGTAAAACATTACGTTAGTGTTCAGACACAGCAAGGTTTTTATAAGTTAATGTTTTCCTTCTTTGGGAGAGGCTGGACACAAAATTGCTAGCTTTGATCGAGCTAAATCAATAATCTCTGCCTGTTTTTCTCATTAAATATATTCACCAAGAGCAGAAGTACAGGATTTTAGGTTTTCATTTTGCCTTTCTGAAGCCCCAGGCAGTTTATATAGTCAACATTGCCAGATTTTACAAAACCAGTGATTTTGTTACTCTGTGGAAGCATGCCCTATGGCCTCCCAGACTCATGACCTTCTTTTGTCCCCGTTGTGTTTTTCCTTTCTCTTGGGACACCTAGAAAATCCTGTAAGATGTGTAAAATGTTCTGCGGGTGACCAAAACAGGTGAGAAGTGACATGAAAACGTGTTCATTCTGTTTACCAGTGTCCTCTCTGTCCTGGTTTTGGCTGTGACAGAATTAATTTTCTTCCTAGTAGCTGGTATGGTGCCTCATTCTCTGTAGAAATAGTCCTAATACATTTTATTTTAATAAATAAACCCATTTGAATATTGATGGAGAAATCAGCAGATGCTTGCATGAATGTCTTGAACTTCCAGGAAGACTGAGCTGCTGTATTCAGCACAACACTCACCTTCTCATTGCAGCCTCCTTGTACAATCTTTATAGCAGTCTAACCTTGAAGCTACAAGGCCATGAATAACTATATAAAAATTCATGTCCCAAAGGAAAGAACGTAAAGTTCTCACTAAACTCAAGAAATAATAAGTGCAGTGCTGTTACTGGAATGTACAGAAACTGTCAAGAAAATGCTGATCATCCTGTTGTCAACCCTAGAAACAGATTGCTTACCCACCCTTTTCTGCCTCTATAAATTCTGCCGTTTATCACTTGACTCTCCTACTTTGCAATCAATGTATTAGGCTTTATTGAATTATCTGTCATCTATTTGTCACTAAGCTCCTTCGTGGAAACAGTGAAGGAACCAGAGCTGTAGGCTAGCCTAAAAGAAGATAATAAATCATCATAATATATAATAAAAAGTTTTAACTGGTCCTCTCGTTGGTTTTGGATAGTCCATAAAGCTTTCCACTGCATGCAATAATATCTGATGGGAAAAGGTGAAAAAGCAAAACTAAGCTGTGGAAGGATGAGGAGAGAGATGGGATTGCCTACACCTAAGCCTAAGCCTAAACCAAATAAATCCAATGAGGCTTTAAATTTGGTTCATGGTATTTTTCCTGCCAATAATTTTAGCTGGAATTCAAGTGAGCACGTTTGCATTGTTTTTTGCATTTTGTTTTTTTCCTTATGCCCTGTGAATACTCTCACAGATTACATTTTAAATCTGGAAGAGTAAAATTAAGAAGCTATACTGTAAAATAAATGCTAGGGTGTGAATTAGTAGGATATTTGCACTTTTTGTACCTTTGGGTGAAACCTGGAAAGTATAACTTGCTTGTAACTTCCTAATGCACAAGTATCTGGCTAAGGCATGCTCTGGGGTGTCGTATTTCCATAATGATGTATTCCAATATTGGTGTGAAATGTAACATCGACCGATAAGTGATAGTTAAAATGTGCCTCAGATATGTGATAAGAATAGTTAAATAAAAAACTTTGGTTTTGGTTGAGCAGTGCCTTCACTGGTTGCTCTGGCACGGAGCTGATACAGCACGTGTGGCTGCCAGAGGCTGGACAGCAGCTCACCTTGCAGCTATTCGAGGCCAGGACGCTTGCATGCAGGTACGTATAAATATCCACTCTCAAGCAAAAGTCAGTAGGGCAAAGCTTCAGTTTGAACGAGATCATTATGAAGAACAGCTGAGAGAGCTCCTAATGGAGCGATGAGTATCTCATCTCGATGTCTTTACATCTGGAATCAAGTCACTCTTGTTAAAGCCAGTGCACTCATTTGCGCTATGTGCAAACAGATTTATTTTTTGTAGTGTCATTGCCTTGAGGTCAGCCCAGAGTTACCCTGCTGATCATCTCAAGTCGTCCTGCTAGGCAATGTTTGTTTTTCCAGCTTGTGAACTGAACTTCTGCTTTGCATTTTGTTTAGGCTTTGCTAATAAATGGAGCAAATGCAGAAGCTCAAGATGATCGTGGGTGCGCTCCATCCCACTTAGCTGCAGCCCATGGGCAGTCTTACACCTTGCAAACCATACTGCAAAGTGGAGCGGTGAGAGACTTTTACCCGCTGTTTCCTAGCACAGAGCCAAAGTCTGGTATCTGTTTGCAAACAAAACTCTATTAAACTGAGATTTAGGACTGTAGACTCATTACTGTCGGTATGTTCTCGTTGGTGAATTTATTTTTAGGGTAAATGTCAATTTTTTTATTGTAAGATACATTAGAGACATGATCCAAAAATCTAGAGAGAATCAATAACATGAGTAAACCACATTCCACTGAGGATGTCATTAAATGAAGATCAGGTGCTGTGGTGGTTGTGATTTTGTGCAATTGTACAAATCTTATATAGTAAAGGAGACATAAGCTTTAAAAAAAAAATCCAGTTATATATTTAAGGAATAATGACCAATGCAGTGATAGAAGTATGTCTGAAAATGCACCTTTTATATGTGTATTATTTAAATAAAACCAAGAACCTGTGAAAGGTGCCTATCTTGGAATAGGAACTGCATACATGGTATGAACTTTGAAAAAAGCTATTTGATTTGATTTCAATAATTTAACACAACGAACAGCTGATGCCTCTTTATATAATTTGTCATGTGTCTAAGATGGATAAATGAATGAACTAACCTGCTGCTTTCATTTTAGAATGTAAATGTCTCGGACAGAAATGACTGGAAGCCTGTTCATTATGCTGCTTTTCATGGTCGCTTGGGGTGTTTGCAGCTTCTTGTTCGGTGGGGAGCGTGCATAGATGACGTGGATAACAATGGAAACCTTCCAGGTATATCAGGATAAATCATATGGGTTTCAACCTTTGGTTTACAGTTGTGTGATATGATAATTGTAGCAAATTATAAGTAATGCACACCAGCAGCATTTGCTATTTGATTCCATGCAGTCAACATAGTTATTCCATTTTTATAATGATGGGAGAATGTATAAAATGCAAAGTATTTATCTGTTGGTGACAGTATCCTATTCACCTCCTGCTGCTGCTGGCAAGGATCAGAGCTCATGGGTGCTGGAACAGGGAGCAGGCTGAGCCTGGCTGAGAGTGCTGTGTAGGTGGGCAGCATCTCATATGCATGTGCCAGTGGAGGTCACAGGAGGAGGAGGGTAGGTGGAGCAGGAGGCAGTTTCAGCTGCTGTGTGCTCCTTTTTGAATTCATGCCAGGCTTTAATGGCTGTGCCAGTGTGATCAGCTTCTGGCGCATTCGTGTGCAGGTTTTGGTATCCCACTGTTTCTTAACTGGTTTGGTAAAACCCTTGTTCTCATTTACCTGTGATTTCTTCATCTTGATTTCTGAAATACTGGTATTCTACATTACCTGTAACCTGTACTCTTTTCCTAATCATGAGCGCAGTCACTTTAGCACAAAGAATGGGCAGTGTTTATTCCTTGCTCTTTGCAGTTTCTCCAGTGTCCCTCTGCCTACCATGCCACTGCCTCAGTATCCTCTGTAAGTTGAATGGGTCATACCCTCTGTTCTCATTGCATCCTTTCCCTTTTAGCGTTTTCCTTCTTATGGTTCAACACATTATTTGTTCCAAATAGCACATTTTTTCCCCCTCTATAACTCGTTTACAGTTATCTTTTTAAATGCCTTCTTAAAATCTTTTACCCTCTGTTAAGCACCGTTTACCTGGTAAACTGATTATCTATGTTCTGTTTTGCAAACCTGGGTCTCGTTAAAGGATGTGAGGCTCTTGCACCCCAGCAGGACATCTGGTGTATTACCGGTAAGGGGTCATGATGCTAGGCACCCTGGTGGCAGCATAGAAGGTGTCTTTGTTTGCATTTGGGAACACTTCCCTGGTAACAGATTTTTATGGAGAGGTTGCAAATGCCAACACAGTTCTACTTAAATGCTCTGCATATACTGGTTAGTAGAAAATTGAGTTTGTTGTTATTTTGACATCTACAGAAGCTTGATCCTCCAGCCTTTGTTCTGTTTCATTTGACCATGTTATCATCCAAAGGAAAGGAAATGCTTTGGAACACTGCTAGCAAAAGATTATTAAAGTGGTATGATGTACAGACCAGCTTTTCCTCAGCTTCTGAAGCAGTGAAATGAACTGAAATCATTACATATTTCAGTTTCAAGATAATCTGGGCAGTGCTATAACCTTTCCTAACAGTATACTGAAAGAAGTTCATTGAGGTTGTGATGCCATACACCTAAAACTTGGCTGCACCTTTTCCATGCATGTGTTATAGTAGAGGCTTTAATTACCTATAGCATGCTAATTTTTGGGAAGAACTGTGGCTCATTTGGTGTACAGAATGGGCTGTGCCCATTAATTTAACATTTTGTTTTCTCTCTGTATTTGGTTTTCGGCCATGTCCATGTTTCATTTACCGCTCACTAGTTAAACCTGTTCTAAATATAGTATTAATTTACTTGTAGCATAACATCTCAATTTTTCACACTGTATTTTCACTTGCCGCTTTGAGAAGAGCAAATTGTGTTAGCCTGATTTTATAAAAGGCGAGATGAAACAGAGAGGTTGGAATACCAACACCAACCACTCACTATTTGTGATGCCTGGGACGAGGTTTTTTAAAGTTCTCAGCATTAAGCTGCATATTTTGTGTTAACAACACAGTACTTCTTGGCTTTAGTCTCAACTGCAAGTACTCAGCATGACTGAGGCTCATATGGCACAGTTATATGTTGGGCACTAGGTACTAAGAAACAGGTTAAAAGCCACCTATGAAAAGTTCCTTTATGTGTCTTCCACAGCAACTGAAACTGTGCAAAAAGACATGGACAGAATACAACTCTATAATCTATTTTCCCCTTGCCATCTTTGCAGAAAACGTTGAGCTTTTCTGACCGCTTTCTGCACAGACATCTGATCAGGGAAAAAAAAAAGTTTCACGCCAAAGGGTGAAGTTTCATCCCTGAGATTTTGGGTATCTGAAAGTGGATTCATAAGGGTTGAGTCAGTTTTTCACCAGCTGACCAGCAATCAGTACTTACTTTCAAGAAGGTACCTTTTCTTTTCACTTCTCCCTGAGTAACTAACTCACCGAATAAAATTAAGACAATAGGAAAACCTACCCTGATTTTAGTGAAGCTCAGAATTTGCCATGTTAAATTTTAGCAATCATCTGTACCCAATTATTGTCATCTTGCCATAAAACCAACATCCATCAGCTTTTATAGCAATTACGCTGTGGAAAGCTGTGGATGGTTTTGAGTGGAGAACTTGCATGGCCAAAAATTAACTTGTGACATGTTTTTCTTTTGGTCCTGAGTACGTTGTTTATTAACTGTGAAGATAATGAGGTTCTTACCTGGAGACAAACTAATCCTTTTGCCTGTAGAACATCAGCCAACTTTTACAGAGCATTTTCATGGAGTGGTAACACATAATAAGCATTATTTGGCAACTTCTTCCCATTAATGGGACTAGAGAATACTAATACTTTCAAAATAATGAGTATGTGTTTTGTACCTCTTAATTTGTTATAAGCTCAGCACTCTAACAGTATTGAATAAGTAAACCTCAGCCTAAAGGACAGCGGGGGAAACACTTGACCCCCATGGGGAAGCAGTCGCTGCCCTGGTGAGCTGGAGCAGCTCCTGCCCACAGCAGCTGTCTACAACAGTTGAAGGAAAGAGATGTACGACAGAAGCACTGTAAATGTCCAAAGCGTCTGTCGTGGGATGTACCTTCAAATACTTCACCCAGTGAAGGGAATGTCACTGCCCTTGTTTTATAGGTGTGGTAACTGAGATGCAGAGGTGCGACAAAACTTGTCTGTGGTGGCACAGTGGAGGTGGGACTAAAGCAGAAATGGCCTCAACACCTAATCAAGGACACCCTTTGCTGGCCCTCTGTAATGAGTATCTCTAGGACGGCGAAGCCAGGCAGCGGCCAAGGGGTGAGATTTGTGTTCACAGGGAAGATGAGACCCCAGCGGCACACTTCCCTAGCTGTGCTCAAAGGTCTCTTGGCAGTGTCGTCTTGTCTCCTGCAGTCAGCTCTGCCAGGGAAGCTTCTCTGCAGATCCTATCCTTGACTCCTCTACCTCCTTTGCATAGAGCTGAACTCTGTCCTGGATAGCAGCTGAGCATCCCCTGTCCAGCGGAGGCTGCTCCCACTTGTGCCCACATGTTGGATGGTTCACGTGCTGGTAGATGAGCTGGATCTAACTAGTGGTGAGAACGCTGCTTTCTGGGTGGGCAGCAGTGGGCTGCTCTAACATACTTTGTTTCATGTTGTTCCATAGCTCATCTGGCAGCAGTGGAAGGACACCTGCATTGCTTTAAGTTCTTGGTCAGTAAAATGGCCAGTGTCATGCATACACTGAAAGCCAGGAATGACCAAGGAGAGACTCCAAGGGACTTGGCTCAGCGGTTCTATAAAGATAATATTCTGCAGTATATTGACAGTGTGGAAAAAGAGGGGGAGCATCCAGAGACACAGGAAGGTGAGTATGGATCAAGGTACTGTTAAAATAAGCATTGTAATTGTATAGAAATACTTCATTCTGAAAACTTGTATGAGCAGAAGTATAACATTTAAATTACCAATATAAGAGCTGTTCCTTTCAATACTTAACTACACTTACTGATAGCTAAGACTGTGATAGTCAATGTGATTTTATAAATGTCTTAGATTTACCCATTATTGAAATAAAACGTCACACTATGTTGCACTATGAATACCAAATTATCCATGTTCTTAGACTCCAGTAGACATCCAGATGAGCTGTATAATTTTCATGAGTTTTCAGATTTGCCTGCTCAGAATCCCTTACTTGCATTGAATAGCAACTTAGCCTGGAAATACCCCACTGAAATGAAGGTTACTTGCTAAGCAGCAATGCTACTGCAGTCAGAACAGCCAAAGGGTGCAAGTGTGGCTAGGTCTGTAAGGAGAACCTTCAGCAGAGCAAGGGTGCGAGAACTGCACCTTCAGCTCTGTACTTTTCCCAGGCACTTACTGTCCTTACCTGCTAGTCTTTTGTCATGATACATACAGGTATGTATGTCAGTACTCCCCATCTATAAAAAATAATTAGAAAAATCGAATTGACTGTAGGGGTAGTTTTTAAGCAAGACGTAAAATAGTTTATATATTTGGTTAGACTATGAAATTCAAAATAAGCAGATGACTGCAGTCACCACCAGTAATACAACATCAACCGTAAACAAAGGTATACTTGCTATTTCAGGTTTATGAATTGAATCTCTTAACTTTATACTATGCCTGTAGCCATAACTAAGACATGTTTAATCAAGACTATGATGAACAGTGCTAGTTATGCAGCTGCATTTTAACTGATGAAGGGTGCGTTAACCTGGCTAACTACAGCTATGAAGTGCCCATGCATAAGTTGCTATGAGAGAGGCAAGCAGTGAGAGACAAGTATGAGCATATTTAGTGTGATTACTGGCATCTGTTTGGAAACATATGCATTTCATTTTCAGTTTTAGCTTTCCCGGCTCATGGTGCTGCTTTCAAAGGGGACTTGTTAGTGCTTAGAAGATTAGTGAGGAGTGGAGTAATCAATATTAATGAGCGGGACGATAAGGGATCCACTCTCATGCACAAAGGTCAGTAATTATGATCTGTGTTTCAGCTTGTTACTGTTTGTTGCTGACTTGTTAACTTACTTTTTCAAGTGGCTGCTCATCACATAAACTTAATGAAAAACAGCATCTAATTTCCTGAGGGCTCGAAAGGGCAACCCTGAAAAACATATTTCGTGATGTATGTATGCGTAGGTGTCACTTTAAAAACAAAATAACCAAGCTGAAGTCAAGAAAGAAGAGTTTATAGTGAAGAGAAAACAACATCTATACTGAAAAGTAAATAATTTTTTTTTTTTTATCAGGCAAGGTATGACTTTTAGAAACATTGGCTAGCTAGGTATGAGAATGATCTGTAATGTGGCCCAGGCCTTCATTTACTGGACATATCAGTACTGTGGAGATGTGCTGTAAAAACTACAACAAAGTCATTTGGCAGGACGCTGTGAAGGAAGGTAAACTTCTGGTATCCAACCCCTTGATATGTAGTGGAGTGCTAGCATTACAGAAAAATGGTCCTTTTGTGTTTAAGGGTTTCATAGTAATGTCTGAAAGAATAGGAGAGGAAAGAAAGAGGGAGGTATTCTTGTAATGTGCTTTTAACACTATATACCACATTTCTTTTTGAATAAATGGTAGAATTTTAAAAAAGCGTAATTAAAGTTCTCATTATGAAAATGGATATGTATTGATTTAAAAGTGTTTTCTACATTCTTTCCCACCCTCTTCTTGGAATGGTGCTAACCTACAATTGTTTCATCCCCAGTCTTTACATGCAGTGGTGGTGTTATGGGGAAATACTCTGTCTGATTGTAATTTCATTTCCTTACCTCAGTAAGAAAACAAATATGGCAAACATCCAAAGGGGGTGCTGTCAAGAATTGGATTTATTCTTCCCTGAGAAAAACAGCTTACAGGTTTCAGCTAGACATGCCGAATACCATCCTCCATATGTGGGCCATCATTCCTGGCGCAACATGGTATGAGCAGTAGCCACGCCAGATCACAGGACTCAGCAAAGCTGTTGTGTTAGGCCACAGCTGAGAAGTGTTGCCTTGAGTGTCTGGCCCAAGGAACGATGTACCTGTCGCTCCAGCACAAAGCTCTGGCTTCACTCCTTCTCCATGAGACAACACCACATGCCACAGATCGGGGCAACCAGCTGTGTCTGATGTATGGGAGCCCAGAGCTGGAGAGAGCTGACACTGCTTTGCTGCAAATCTGTGACATACAAGCCATACTGCAAGAGAGTGTGAGGCAGCAGTATTTGTGTGTCTCATGCTCAGCGCATGAGACTGGGCAAGTTTAGTTTAACTCATGTCCAGGAAGAGTTGCCAGTGAATTTCTGGAACTAGAAAGAGGCACGAAACCACACTGCGTGATCTTCCCCAAAACTGCGTGCACCCATGTGACTTGGAAATCTTGAAGTAGAGGCTTCTCTTGAAATAGTATCTCCCCTGTGGTGTGTTAGTGAACCCAACCTCTGGCATGTCAAATAATGATGAGAGAGGGGCATTTTAGGTTGTATATAACACTTCAGTTGTATATAACTAACTGACTTGTGTGCACCTTCCTTCCCTTAGCTGCTGAACAGGGGCATATCCATTGCTTACAGTGGTTGATTGAAATGGGAGCTGACTGTGACATCACGAATGATGCTGGAGAGACTCCAAAGGATGTAGCCAAGAGGTAGCGGTACATATCCTGTAGCTCTATCGTTTCTTTACTTACTAATTATATATCAATATCATGTCAGCTTTGTTGGAATTAATCCTGATTTTCAGTGGTGGAGCAAGAACAGATCAGGCCAGTGAATTCCAGCTCTGAGTGATAAGCAAAGCTATAGCTTGTAGCTATAAAAGGTTTTCATTTTCACTTAATTTATTTTTTTTTAGCAAGGTCAGACAGGAAAGATGAAAACTAGCTGATCTGCAAAAGGAAAGTATGCTCCAGCTGTACAAAGTAAATGAGAACTAGCGAAGGCCAACTGATTTTTGCATTAATAAACATAATGCAGTTTCTGATGAGATTCAATTAAGAAAACCAAAGGAAAAGATACCTCTGATATGGGTGTCATTGTCATGGGATTTCATTGAAGCAGAGCTCATGCCATCAGAATACTACAAAAAGCAGGTTAGCTGCTCATAGGTTGTGCCCTAGTGCTTCCTTTAAACCTGAAACCCCTCCCATAAATGGAACATGAAGAGTTTCAGAGAGGTTCTATCATGCGCTTGGGAGCGTGGCTGCATTTTTCCTGACGGTGGGGATATTTCAGTGTAGGTTAACTGTTTTCTATGCAGATTTGCCCAGCTGGCAGCTGTGGAACTTTTGACACAAAGAACTGGAGAGAGTGACTCTAGTGATGAAGAACTAGATGCAAACAACATAAAGTTTTTTGAAAAACATGGTGTGGAAGGGAGTACAGATAGCAAAGAAGATTTAATCCTGGATAAAGCAGAGAAAAGGAACGCACGCAGTAAGCACTGTCTTCCCATCACTCCTTATTTGAAAAAGTTGGTCTCAAGACATTATAGTCCCAGTTGCACAGTTTCTGCCAACTGCTGTGACTTTTTCATTGTAAGATGAGATAGTTGACAGGATTCAAACAAAATGCGGAAAATTAGAAAGCATAGCAGAGTGCAATCAGAATGTAATTGTTACGCTGTTTTAATCCATGTTGGTGAAACCATATTGGATGGCTACTTGTTTTTGAGATCTGTCTGCTGTGTGGGCATCAGGTGTAGCTCAGTATTTGCTGAGCAGTGTGATTTCTGCTCTGTGTTTGTGAGACTATTTTCCAGACTCTTGGATTCCAGCATGACTGTCTCCTCCGTGCATTTTACATACCTGGAGAGCTCTGTCTTACAGTAAGGGCCTATCGCAAGATTCAAGAACTTCAGCAACTTCTAGAAATTGCCTACAGCAACTACAGGCAGCTGGGAGGAATAACTGAAGAGGAGAAGAAGATGAAAAAGGAAGAAAGGGAAGTTGAGAAGTAAGATTAACTTGCCCTGCTAATGTTCAACTCTGTGAGGCCCATTTTAAAGCCTTCTTTAAGTCTTGATTTACACTCAAGTTGTTTTGTCCATTCTGTCCTTTCCACTTACCAACTTTAGCCAGGCCAAAACCAAACAGACTTCAGCAATTTGTCTGACCCTTTCTAGACTTCTACCACCAGGATCAGCCTCAGAGCACAACACAGGTGTTTTGATGGGTCCACATTTCTTGTGCTAAATTATCTGTTCAGCTTTCAGGTTTGCCTACAGCATATGTGCAGTAGGTCTGGTAAGTCCCTGGCTGTTTTGTTTGCATTGAGGATGCCAAATACATGTATGCACTTTAATAAATCTGAAAAAAAAGGCATTAGTTTTAGCATGGCTTGGATGGAAGTGCATATACAGCAGAAATTATTCAATGACCTGTTACATTTCCATGTCAAGGGCAATAAATTTCTATGCTCAAGAAAGCATTAGCTCATATCCAGTCTCTCCAGGCTTTAAAGGGGGAGGGTGACCAGCTCAGATGTTGGTGCCTACGCTGGAAGGTCAGAGCAATCTGTTTGCAATGATGGAAAAGTCACTGTTGACTAACGGCAGAAGTTGGAGTTCATTTTGGATAGAGCAGCTACTCAAAAGCAAGCAGTGTCTGTTAGAGGGCTCTGATAAGGCTCTTTAAGGGATTTTGCTTTCTGTGGCATGTGCGGCTAAACTAGAAAAATTGTGAGGATCTCTGAAGTGTCTCTCTCATCTAGCATCCCTAGCCCCATGCTGGCCTTTTGAAATGGAAATACCGCTGCTCAGCGTACCTACCTACCCTTCTCAGGGCACCTACCTGCGAATAAACCTCAAGATGCTTGTATCATGTGCCAGAAAACCTCATTTTAAAAAAAAAAAATTAATGACAACACCATTTTGTAAGATGAAAAATGGGAGTTGCCACTTGGGGAGGCTACCATAGCAGATCTTTAAGATTTCTGCTTTAGTCCATGTTTTTCGAGTGTAAGAGGCCTGTTGCGAGCCACTGCGCAGTGCTTCGACCAGACTGCATTGCATGGAAAAAAAGAATCGGCACCGTCTGTGCGCCACACAGTTTTAGAGCTGTGTCTTCTTAATCTGAAGCGTGCAAGAAGCCAGCCTGTCCCCCCTGAGCACTGGTTTGCCAGCACAAGCGCGCAGGCTGTTCTTACGGCTGGTACAGCCTGGTAGACTTGGGCTGCGTGAGTCAGGAATACCGCAGCCTGGGAAATGCGGTGGCTCTTGCTGAGAGCTTTCCTGCCGTGCTGTTTGAATCCACAGGGCAGACGTCTCCCTTTTCCTAGTCTTCCTTCTCTGCAGCTGTGCTGATACAGAGGAGAGCCAGCTCAACTCCAGATGACTCAGTTGCTGAGGTCAATTGCTGTTACAATGAGAATATATGTGAATTATGTCTCAGCTAACCAGTTCCAGGAATCTCAATTAATTTAGGAGCTGTTGTGGGGTGTGACCGATGAGATCTTGTGCAACTGTATCAGCCGGTGCTTCAGCTTCCCTTTAGTAAGAAGTGTCATGCAGGCTGTCACTTGAGTATTCCTCATCTGTGGCTAAACCCAATCAATAGGAAGGATGTAGAGGCACCAGATGTAAATGACAAAGCTGCCCCTGACCCCTCCAGAATCACAGTTTTACGCTTTTTCTCTGTTTCATACTAACCTTTTTGCTTCTTGGGCGCTTCTCCCTCTTCTGCCGCTGGAGATGGGGCTGGGCTACCGCCCACCCAAGGCCCTAGCACCTGGCTCAGTGTGTGGGAAGACGTCTCCATCTCGTGGTCAGATTGCGCTGAGCACAGCTGATGGCCAAGAAGGGGAAAAAAAAAACCCCAAACAGCTGTTTAGAGCTGTTACAAAGAGTCTTGAGCCAGGAGCACACTGTAGCTCACACCAGCATGGTTGGTGTGAGGAGTACTGCACTGCTTTCTGCTGTGACTAACCTGTTCCTTGGCAAAGGCACGGGACCAGGTGGTGTAGCCATCCAGCCATCCAGGTTTGGATGCTCTTCATGCTCTGCTTGTCTCCTTTGCTTGTGGCAGGGCTGTGAGGCAGCTGGAGGCCCAGCTGGAATACGAGCGAGTCAGGCGGGAGAAGCTGGAGAGCCAGCTGGATGACTGCCGTGCTGAGATAAGCCACCTTAGGCAGAGCCTGGAGAAGACCCACGCCCCCCCTGCTCTCCCCCTGGTGAGTGCTACACGGACTCCCCCAGTGCGTGGGGCAGAGGCTACTGCCTGTTGCTTGTGCGTGCTTGTTCTCACCAAGCTTCCCAGGCATGGTGCTAGGAACTGCTGGAGTAAATGTGCTTGCAGCTTTCAGCTTGGGACGCTGAAGCAAGCAGTAGCCTTTGTCGCAGCCTGACAGTGTCCCTGCTGTGAAAAGATGTCGGTTTCTCTTTGTACCCTGGCAGAGATCACCGACATGCTTCATCTTCACGTTGACGACAGGGAGTGGACTGATCCCTGAGCACCTCCACGCCGCACTTGCAGTGACTCACAGCTCGTCTCGGCTGGTAGCTGGTGCCTGAGGCTGGACTGGTGCTTCAGGAGAGGTGGTGTCACCACCCGGCCTGTGGGTGTGCAGAGATCGCAACCGTGGGTTTGTGGGAGTCTGTAATACACCAGGACACAGAGGCTTTTATCCTGTAAATTTCTCTACTTTATTACAGATTACCACAAATACGACAAAAACCACCAGCAGCAAGTATACCTATGATTAATAAGGCGAATAGAAATATATGCATATCAGTCTATTACAAAATACTATTAACAATCAATAATACACTATCAATCAATAGTATGGTAGAATCATAGAATAGAATCATGGAATCGCTTAGCTTGGAAAAGACCTTTAAGAACATCAAGTCCAAGCGTTCCCCTAACCCTGCCATCCCACCACTAAACCATGTCCCTAAGCACCTCGTCTGCCTGGCTTTTAAATCCCTCCAGGGATGGGGACTCCCTGGGACTTCCCTGGGCAGCCCGTTCCAATGCTTAACAACCCTTTTGGTGAAAAAATTTTCCCTGATGCCCAATGTAAACCTGCCCTGGGGCAACTTGAGGCCATTTCCCCTTGTCCTATCGCCCTTTCCCTGGGAGAAGAGACCAACGCCCACCTCACTGCACCCTCCTGTCAGGCAGTTGTAGAGGGCAATAAAGTCTCCCCTCAGCCTCCATTTCTCCAGGCTGAACACCCCCAGTTCCCTCAGCCGCTCCCCATCAGCCTTGTGCTCCAGAGCCCTCACCAGCTTTGTTGCTCTCCTCTGGACACGTTCCAGCAACGCAACGCCGTTCCTGTAGTGAGGGGCCCAAAACTGAACGCAGCATTCGAGGTGCGGCCTCACCAGTGCCGAGTACAGGGGCACGATCACTGCCCTGCTCCTGCTGGCCACACTATTCCTGATACGAGCCAGGATGCTCGCAGGGCACACTGCTGGCTCATGTTCAGTCGGCTGCCAAACAGTACCCCCAGGTCCATTTCCACCAGGCAGCTCTCCAGCCCCTCAGACAAAAAGTTGCCTTTGCAGTCTCTTTTTGTTGTGCTTATCGGTGGTATCCCAGGATGCCCCTGGTTCCTGGGTACCACTGCTGTACTTCAAAGAGGCCAGCTGCACTTTCCGAGGATGTGTCTGGTTCCCAGCCTCACAGTTCCCAGGCTGGCAGACGCACTCTCTGTCAGTAGTTTTCAGCAGGCAGTTTCTTCTGCTCAGTGATTTCCCCGTCTAACCAGGCTGCCTTTCCGGCTGCTCCCATCAGGGCGACCCCTCACCCCCAGCTGGCACGGTTCGTAGCAACTGCAGCCCATGTTGTAGGGTATTTCTTTTGCTTCAGAAGCGGGTTCTTTTCCACCTTTTTACACCAGGCTGGGAAGCGAGTTGGTGGAGTGGCGTAGTACAGTACCGTATTGCTGTGTGCACTGGCTGGTTTCAGTGCGTGTTCTCCCGTGTCACCTGCTATCTTAATTACCAAGCCCGCTGACAGCAAAGAAGATGCAGATATGAATGATTGATTGGCTTAGCAGGCAAAGGCAGAACAACTGTAGCTTTTTAAAAAGTCAAATCTTGAGGATAGGAGGCTGTAGCAAGGGGGGGGTCGGTCTCTTCTCCCTGGTAACGGGCGATAGGACGAGGGGAAATGGCCTCAAGTTGCGCCAGGGCAGGTTTAGGTTGGTCATTAGGAAAAAATTTTTCACAGAAAGGGTTGTCAAGCACTGGAAGGGGCTGCCCAGGGAAGTGGTGGAGTCCCCATCCCTGGAGGGATATAAAAGCTGGGCAGACGAGGTGCTTAGGGACAGGGTTTAGTGGTGGGATGGCAGGGGTAGGTTAACGGTTGGACTTGGTGATCTTAAAGGTCTTTTCCAACCCAAATGATTGTATATGATTCTATGATAGATCAGCAGTTCACATGCTAGCTTTGGGGACCCGAGAGCTGGCATTTCAGACCTTTCCCTGCTACGTAACTCCCCCACACTGACGTGACAGTCAAGACCCTTTTTTCTGATCTTTGCCACCCTGTCCCTCGGCAGCCTTGGGTGAAACATCTAAATTCCTCCTGCTGTGGGTTGTGGGAACTGGTTTGCACTAACGTTGCCAGTTCTTCCAAGGGTACAGCCAGTGGAAAAGGCTCATGGCCCTGCCATTTGTCTTCTCGGTGCTTCACTTAACTTCCTCGACCATCGCACTGCCTTGGCTGTGTAACCCTTTGTAGGGCCCCGCTGTAACCAGGGGAGGACTCTCAGTCACTGACAACGTGGGTGACTTGGGCTTAGCTCCTTCCTCTGCCCAGAGGAGCCCAGAAGGCCCATCTCAGGGGGATGCTTTAACCAGCACCATGTCTGCTCTTCTGAGATGGAGCCATATTCCTTCCCCTGCCTGCAGCTGTGCAGTGTGACCACTGCAATTAAATATTTGTTGGTCCAGAGGGAGTGAGAGTGAGAAAATACCTTTATAAGCCAATTATTAGGGCAATCGTGCAGGAGGGGGGAGCTGGCCTGTGCTTCACATGAAATATTTATATATTTCTGGGAGGCCAAATTGGGTTGCTGGATAAGAGGCATAACATTACTGCCTTCTTCAGCCAGGTTTGAGTGAGGCCCAGCTGCTTGGAGTGTCCCTCCTAGATAATGGGCTTTTTCTGAGTGTGATGGGGAAGAACGCTCTGAACATAAGCTGTGGAGCCAGTCTATCCTTGTCCCACTGTATCCTTGGGACTGATCTTTTCCAGGCTGCTGAGACCCTCAGGCAAGATGGGTGCCTTCACCTTTAAAAGAAAAGCCACTTTCTGCTTCCACAGCTCACTTTAAGACATTACCCATCTACTCCCCTGGCAGGTTTAAAAATCGAGGACAACTATGGCATGGAGTGCCCCCTTTCTGGGGCAGAAGAGGGGCTGTAGTCAGTTTTTTTACCATCAGCAGTCTGAAAACATTCAGCTGGGCATTAGGTTAACTGGCTGGGACTGGAGACAACTTCTGCTGAGGCAGGTTTGTTTTCAAACCTGCTCCGAGTGACTGCTACAACCAAGGGGCCTTGGATCTCACCCTGCTGTGACGGTCATCCCGTGCCCTGGGCCTGCCCTCCGCTTCACTGTGAACACAGCATTCTGTGCTTACTCAAAGCCGTAGATTTTTGAATCCTGTCTTACGAGGTAGCGGGTTTAAGTAACTGCTATTCAATGGCTGTGGTGTCCTTCGTTTCAGGAAGCTGAGACCATCTCCAAGTCTTGCAAAGAGAAAAAGAAAGTAAAGAAGAAACCAGCCTGCAGCCCTGGGGGAGCGTTTGTGAGACTGCGCTGAGGAATGAGCCTCCGCTGCGGGCAGGCAGACCGAGGAGGTGGAATGGCAATACTCCAGAGAACGCACAGCCCAGCTCCACAGATGAGTTGTGGTTCTCTGTTTCATTGAAGCATTTTTTTAGTTCTCTAGTTCTCTGGGATAGAAAAGAGTTTTAAATCACAGCAGCAGCATTTTTTTAAAAAAAAAAAAAAAAGGTAGAAAGACTTCTCTTCCTGCCCAGGTGGTAGTTTAGAGTAGTTTAGCAACAGCTTTGCTAAGGTGACATTTGTAAGGTGACATTTCAGGAGGTAACTGCAGTGATGTCATAGGCCCTGCTAGGTCTGAGAAAAGCATCCCCATCTACTGCTCTGGTTTGGAGTTGTTTAACCCGGCAGGCAGCTGAACACCACCCAGCCGCTCGCTCGCTCCCCTCCTCATTCAGTGGAGTCGGGGAGAGAATCAGAAAAAAAAGGTAAAACCCAAGGGTTGAGATAAAGAATTTTAATAAAAGAATAACAATAACAACAATAATAAAAATAGTAATAGAATATACAGACTATACAAAACAAGTGATGCACAGTGCAATTGCTCACCACCCGCTGACCGATGCCCAGCCCATCCCCAAGCAGCAATTGCTGCCCCCCAGCCAACTCCCCGTTTCTATACTGGGCATGACGCCATACGGTCTGGGATAGCCCCTTGGCCAGTTGGGGTCAGCTGTCCTGGCTGTGCCCCCTCCCAGCTCCTTGTGCCCCTGGCAGAGCAGGGGAAGCTGAGAAGCCCTTGCCTGGTGTAAGCCCTGCTCAGCAACAACTGAACCATCAGTGAGTTATCAACATTCTTCTAGTACTGAATCCAAACCACAGCACTGTGCCAGCTACTAGGAAGAAAATCAATTCTATCCCAGCTGAAACCAGGACAGTAGCGCTGCCTTAGGAGGGTGGGGGAAGCACCTTACCTCCTAAAATAATCAGATGGGACCTTCAGAGTGGAACCAGAACACGGGTCTGGGAGAAGTGCTTCTCAGCTGCAGAGAGATGCTGGGCCCTGTGATTTTCATCTTCAAGTGATTCCTAAGTAAGCCAGGAAGCTACTCCCTCACGAGGGGCTGAACACCACCACGAGGGGCTGCAGCAGCGGGCCACGGAGTCTAACCCAGGGCTGAGGAGTTCTCTAGGTTATGAGGCCTGGTGCAGTTAGGGACAGCAATCCTGATCTCTCCTCCATGCCTAAAAAAACATTTCATGACTTCACATATAAAGATTTTTCTCTCATCTGTGTGCTACTGTGAAATTCTTTTCCCTTTGGAACCCTCACCGTGCACATTTTGAGAGTTTTCATTTCAGTAAGAAAGCCTTGCACTGTAAGGTTGACTTGCTAGTGCTTGAGTCCTGATCTGCCCTCCCCTTAGTTACCAAAGGAAACTTAAATTTCTTGAGAATTTCAAAGGTACTAAAAAAAAATAAATTTGGTTTTGTGTGCGCAGACAGAGCACGCCACACTAACAGCATAAGCCTTGTATCAGAGCTAAAGAGGAAAATCCAGGCTCTAGAGCCCGCTTCAGTGCGTAGGGGATGATGGTGGTGAGAAGCTGCAGTAGATGGGCTGTTTCCTACATCACCCTTGGTGCTGAATTCTCACCTTGGAACAGTGCAAAAGGCCAACCCGAGTCACTCTGCGTCCAGAGAAGGGCAAAGAAGCTGGTGAGGGGTCTGGAGCCCAAGGCTGATGGGGAGCGGCTGAGGGAACTGGGGGTGTTCAGCCTGGAGAAGAGGAGGCTGAGGGGAGACCTTATTGCCCTCTACAGCTACCAGGGTGTAGCCAGGTGGGGGGCAGTCTTTTGTCCCATGTAACAGGCAAGAGGAAATGGCCTCAAGTTGCACCAAGGAAAGTTTAAGTTGGACATCAGGAAAAATTTCTTCACTGAAATGGTTGTCAAGCACTGGAAGGGGCTGCCCAGGGAAGTGGTGGAGTCCTCATCCCTGGGGGGATTTAAAAGCCGGGCAGATGAGGTGCTTAGGGACATGGTTTAGTGGTGGGATGGCAGGGTTAGGTTAATGGTTGGACTTGATGATCTTAAAGGTCTTTTCCAACCTAAACGATTCTACGATTCAGAGAACCTCAGAAATGGTTATAGCTTACAATAAGGTGGGTTTGAACACACAACAGTTACACATGCGGCTGTCAGCCGCCTGCCGAGACCCTTGCTGCCAGCACCCCTGCCTGTTTGACAAACACATGGACAACAGAAAAAGCAGCCTCAACTCTCACTGTGATAGCACTGTGCCTGTTGTAGAAGCCACATTTTTACAGTCTGGTAATCTTTGTTCAAGTCTCTCAGATAGTCAGAAAGCAAATATAAGAAATTAATTTTATTTTCTTAAGTGAAGATGATAATAATTTAATGCACGGCATATAAGAATTGACAGGATACCAGCAAGTCCAACTGTAAACAGAATAAAACTGCAATAAAACAATTGCCACTAAGCAGTACTAAATACTCTTTAGCCCATAAAGGGTCTCCTCTTACTTAAAAGTTTAATCCAGGAAGGATTTTTTTTCTTATTATTTTATTGAAAGAATCAAACCAAGCAAATGCATCTGTACTCAAGAAGGTGTAACTGCTTCAGTTTGGGAAGGCATCCACCTGCTGCATCCCGCCTCTGCAACAAGAGTTGTGAAGTCCTTGCAGAAGGTGGAGAGGCCATCACCAGAGGTCAGGGGAGTCAGCGTCCCCCACCGGGTTACAGAACAGTCCAGAGGAGTGCAGAGGTGGGAGGAGGACAACGACCACCGCCACCACACTGGCACCACCGAGATGCCGAGTGTTCCCATGTTACAAGCCAGATCCCACGCCCAGTAAAGATGCGAGGGTTTACTGGAAATACGCTGCACTACTGGAAGGGAGGAGTTAAGAGCACTTCTCTGCCCCAGGGCTGCACACAGGTGCTGAGAGCAGAGGCATTTCCCCTTGGAAAGACAAAAGGAGAAGTTCTCCCACTCTGCTGACCCCTCAGGCTACCGAAATTGCAAGAGAGACTAAACAAACAGATCTATGGAGATGTTTTAGTTCTACACGAGATTTTAAATTTATGTAAACCAGTTTTCAAGAAAAACAAGGATTCTTTAGTGAAGGCCTCGGAGTGTGTATTTATATATAAATTACAAAACCCCCCAAAGGGACAGGCTTCAATCTGTCAGAAAAAGGAGAGACAGACTGAAGGCAAAAATCCAGATCCTATATTTAAGATTAATTTCCTTGGATCGGAGTAGATCTGTTGGAATCTGGCGTTAGTATTTCCCTATTGGGAAAACTAACTTAGGAATAGTATCCCCAATTGAAGGGCATATCAAATGTTTAATATTGCCATTTTGAGAGGAGCTGAGAGTGAGAATGTTCCTTTGAGAATCCTCCAAAAGAAACCAAATTAATTCTAAAACACATTAGGAAACACTTTCTGATTTAGCATAAGTCATCCTCTGAAATAAATACAGTATTCGATAGGGGACAATGAAATATTGCTATCTGCCTACTTCCCCCCCCAATTATTTTGATCTTCAGACAACATTTTTAGTGCACAGCATGAATATCAAGACAAAAAGGTACCAAGGTTATCTACAGCGCACACGTGATCGTCTGGCTGATGTTGCCTGGGTGTCCTTTCCTCCATTTGTATTTCACGCAGTCATTCCAGTCAGATCTATTTCCAGAACCTGTAAAATCCCAGCGCTATTGCCAAGCAAGTGAATACCGAAGCTGTTTAAAAAAAAAAAAAAAGTAATTAATTAGCTGAATGCTAAATTGTATCACCTTGTACATACAGGAACTTAACTACAAACGGAAGCATGGTAACAACTGTAGAGCAGAGCCTCCTCAGCTTCCTGAATTGCTGCAGGTGTGACAGTAATTTTAGAAGACAATGACTTGTCTTAGGTGTAATATCCTGCACAGTAGTGCTGCCCAGGCGTCAAGATGGGAGTCAAGCTGAGCAGCCTGAGGAGCTGCACCTTCAGGGACGCTCCTGAATAACTACGACAGGCTACAGTACCTTCTGCTGTTGTCACCCACCTATGGAAATCACATTCCCGGAGAGGAGGCTGTATCAGGTCTTGCGTTAGATGTAATTAAAATGATTTCCCACTGAACAACATGACAATGAACTAACACATATGTGACCCAAGATCAGGATATCTAGGCAGCACCTCTCAAGCCTGACAAGTTGTCTCTCAGATTTGTTAGGCTGCTGTTTCAATCAGTCTTAGAATAAAGCTAATTACGTTTCCCTTTGAACTTGTTTTCTCTTCCATATGTAATGCATTACTCTCTTTATCCAGCTCCAGCACAATAAAAATTTCACTGGTTACGTACAGATCAATCTCAAATCAGACTGTAATTTGTTCTGCTCGGCAGGGGAAAGCACCAGTACTGCCACACTGAAACTACGTGTTTGCGGAGGACTGAGCGGCAGGCAGCACTGGTAATGCAGACTAGGCCTGGCTATCAGCAAACCTTTGGGGTAACTTCAGTAAACTCAGAAGAACTGGAGCAACTCTACCACTTAAAATGCTGCCCTGCAGCAAGCAGAGGTGCTGTCAGACTAGACAAGGAATTTAGGCTTCTTTCCTACTCTTAATAAAAAAAAAATAAAATAAATCATGTCCATGTTCCTCCTAATCCCAGTTCTAGGTGCAATCCTAGTCCAGCTGTAGCAGTGTCTGCACACCTCTTCTGTGTTCTCTGTCACATCTCAGTCCCAGGTGCCTGCTGTTACACAACTGACTTCTCAAATTCACTTTGCATATATTGAATAAAATTTTATACATCCCAAATGCAGTACTGGTACTCACCCCCTTGCCTATCACATACCTGCCAAGTAACGTATTGTATCAAGTTTATTGGATTCCATGAGTGTTTTTAAGGAAGCTATTTCAGTGTCAATTTTGTTACTGATTTCCGAGATAACACTGTTGGTACTTGAATCCTGAAACATTAAAAGATAGCAGATATTTACAATCATCTCAGGCCCTTTCAGCTTTGCAAAGCCAAACATCAAAACCATGCTACCAGCAGCATGAAGGAGAAACAAATTTCCCACCTATCACTGAAGTAAAATACATAACTGGTAAGAGACCTTGAAGACACAGAACAATACTTAATATGCTCCAGAAAGAATATTAAAGAGGAGAGAGAGAAAGAGAAAACTCAGGTTGTACAGACTTTTGTTCCTGATATGCCAGTGCCTCCAAAAGGAGGCATTCTACAGTGCACAGATAGGATCCCTAAATTTTCGCAAAACAAAGCTTTGAGCATTCACAAGAAAAGGAAGGAGATGCTGATGATGGGACGTGCCCATCTCCAGCCTCTCAGGCTTCGGTGCCTGCCAGCAGCTCTGAGGACTTCCAGCCCCCGGAATACTTGCTTGGCAAGTTATCAGCTACAGCTGATCAGCTCATCCAATACTATCGGGGCAGGGCGGGACGGCAGCCCACACCCCACCTACCACAGCCTGGGTAACGCTCAGGAAGCGAGAGACAAGGGCTGGGAGCCTCCTGCCTGAACGGCGTTCAGTGCAAGTCCCACGGACCCGGGCAACAGACACGTACAGCAGAGGTGGGCAATGCAGCCCAGCCTTTTGCTTTGCCACATTCCGAAATCTATTAACTATCACGGGAGTTTGGGGTTTACACAGCAGGCAAGGTGTAACTGTAATCCTGCCCAATACAAAATGAGCTTTGTTCAGTACTTACTTTTTTATGAAACTCTGTAGTTGCTTCCATCAGTTTCCTCTCCTGATCTGTAAACTGTGGATAAAAGATAAATTACAATTGTAGTAACAGAAAACAAGACACAGAATCAGTAAAGGTACCTTCACAGACCAGCTTACCATGTCCGTCACTCTGCTCCTTTCCAGGTTTATGTCTAGCTTGCTGTCAGCTCGGATTTTACTGGTTTCATTCTTGAAGGCAAATAAAGATTATGAAAATAACTATTCACTTTCCCTAATAGGAGCGCGTAGGTACTTGCTGCTTACTTACCATTAGCTGCTGTTTAACTTGATCCAATTCAATTTTCATTTTCTAGGTGCAGAGGAGGAAAATAAAACACGATTTTACAAATTCAGAAAACTGCTGACCCAGTCAATCAATCAGTCATGTAAGTGCTACCACCGCACGCATGCAAGTCTTCTTCCGTGATTTTTCTCCCCACAGGGCAATTTGTTCTTCATTAAAGATCCTAACCGGTGTGTTCCATTTGTGTAGCCATATATAATCTGCTTGGAATATTGCTTGAAATAAAGGGATTACTTTGTAACAATGATGAACTCATTATTCTGAGACTAAAGACAGATGAAAAATACCAAAATGCTGTCAAGCAAAAGCAAAACGTGTCTCTATGACCAGTGAATTAAATTGCTGCAAAGAAATGGCTGACTACTCTCCCTGCGCTGTACAGATAGTGGTGACAAGACTCTTCCATAATCCCCCTTAAACAAAAACACAGAAGACTATTCCAAGATGTGTAGATTCTTTTTTCCTTCACAGAAGAACTGAGCAAGCCTCATCACGCGAAATACATTTTTATGTGATCACAGAAGTTGTAATCTACAAACACTTCAACTCTGATAAAAGTCTCCATAATTACTTTTACATTCATATTTTCTTCCACATAAATGTACAACAGGTATAATGCAAAATATATTACAATTTAACTGCTTAATTAAAGATAACAGTACCTCATTCTCTGCTCTCAAGTTTGCAAATTCACTTTTCTCCAGGATAACCATATCTTTTCGAATGGAGTCCAAATGCGCCATTATCTGCTGTAAAGTTATTTCCTTAGAAATAATAAGACATGTCATTGATTGAGTTGCACACTTTCTGGCAAGTAAAGGAAAGTAAAGATTTTTAAGTCTGAAATTACAAAATTAGTTGCTGCAAAGCACAAAAGTGGGAAGACTCTCCAACAAGGAAGAGGCAGAAGCACTGAATTTTATAGCTGCAGTTTGTTTGAAAGACTCAAGAGGGTTTGGTTTTGTGCTTTTTTTGTTGCTTTAATACAGCAACTCTGAATTTAAGCAAAAAAAGCCAGAGGTATTAGTCCAAGTAGCTACAAAGTGAAATAGACCTGAGACTAAAGGTTCATTCACTTCCACTGTCAATGAACGTTCAGTAGCCTGTGAAGCCTTAATTGTTGGTTTGAATCCAGCTCCTAAGTAAGCACTTCCATTTCTTGCCCACAAAGTCATCAAACGCCAAAGACTTAATGATATGACTATCACACTGTTCTCTCAGCATCGAAATTGTGAGGCACACGAGGAAAACATTGCCGGAAAGCAACAAAAAAAGCCTTCGTGGTGTTTGGACTAACGAGTTCAGAATTCAACTGCTATTTATAAACTACAGAGTAAAAAAAAAAAAAAAGAAAATAAAATAAAGGAAGAAACTTTGCATTTTAGAATCTTGAAAGCAATACTCCTTTAGTTAGCATAAGAAAGTCACCCTACTATTTAGTGCAGAAAATGACATCTCTCTGTGGAATTCTGCTTTTAAAGCTGAGAGCCAGCAAAACGAAGAGCTCTTGTTCAGACTATAAGCAAACAGTATTTCTCAGATCCTACGTTGAACTAAATTCGTTAAAATATGCCCTGACCCAGCTTCCACTGAAGGCTGACTACTCTGTTGAACACAATGAAGTTTTTACAATTCCTGGGAAAACTTCAGCTGCACTTATAGTGAGGAGCTAATTTGCCTCATCCCGTCTTAAAACATCCAGTCTCAACACTGACTACACTATGAAAATGAGTGTTTCTGCCTAACACAATTCTATGCAAATTATATTTGGGATACTGACTTTCTTTACGTATAACAGAATCTCCAAAAAGAAGGTTTCCATTTTGATAAAAAAAACCCCAACCAAACCACAAGCAGTGACACAGGTTCTTGTCTTCTGAGATGTATAGATAAAAAGTTAGATAGCTTTTATTAAGAATAAATGCCAGTCAGATAAAAATTTGTTGGAAGTAAGGCTCAGCAGTTTAAATAAAATAGCAATGAATGCTTAATTGCATTAACTCATTGAAGAAGAATGGCATGTAATTTCAGCTTGCACATCCTTCCTGGGTAATTATTAAAACCATTACTGTGCATCAGAGCTTTATTATCCTGGCCCAGATGTCTAGCCTACAAGAAAAACTGAAGTTCTTCTTACTTTGGCAATTTGTTAAAATGAAACTTGTCACCACCTCTATTACCAACAAAAAATCCCAGCAATGCCACTTAACTGATTCACTGCCTCCAGATATGTTCACAAACATGAATGTCTAAGTGAGGGAGACACCTCGACGCTTTGCTGGAGCGCAGGCTGAGGTGCCAACCTGACCAGTGCCGTCAGGTAGGTTTATACCAACAGCTGCCTAATTCAGAGCCCACTTCTGCCCCCGAGGGCATACGATGCACCACGGATGATGTCCAGAGGGCTAAAATCTCTTCCCTCTAAACCAGGATGGCTCTGGCCACCCTGCCTGGTGGGAACAGATCTGGGCCCTGTACTTTCATGTAAATTGTGCCCAGGTCAGGGAGACAGAGAGCTGGCACAGGTCAAAACGAAGCCAAGGCACCGCAGTGGCTCTGGACAAGCCTGTGGTGGTGTTTGTGCCCACACCCTCGCCACACTTAGCTTTTGCTATAGACGTAGCTTTAGAGACTGAGATGCAGAATAAAATAATGAAATTGTTCTAAAGTAGTTTTTAGTTTATTAACAGAAAACCAGGACAAATAGCTTATCTCAGAACAGAGTTGACATCTTCACTAAAGTTCAGTAAAAACACCCAACATTTTCTGATATCTTAGGTGGTCTTGTTTTGCCTCAGGAACCCCCTCCTTGAATCTCTCTTCTGCCCTCACCCATTGTAAAGACTAGTTTCACTACAGAGCTTTCCAGTAACAAATGAAGCAATGTCTGCTTTCCATTTATACATCGTGGCTGCATTTGGAAAACACTCCCGTGAGATTAAAGGTTTAAGATATTCTTAATTAAGATAAGAGTTCTTAATTAACATATTCTTAACACCACCTCCAAGCTTAGGAAAACCTCTCTTGGTGACATGTTCATAATACTACAGAGAGTTGCTCACTTGTCTTTTAAATTCACAAAGATGAGCCATTATAGCTACACAACGCTGTGTATGTACACCACAGATTGCTTTTTACCTGCTGAGCCTGTGTAACCATATCCTTATAGACTGTGTCTAAGCTGACATTCGACAGGGTTATTAATGCTGATACGATGGTCTCCGCCTGCTCCTTCCCAAAGCCTAGAAGACAGTGAAAGGATGACAAGTTCAGGTAATAGCAGAAAGCTGGATGGAGAGAACAGCAAGAGGTACCTAATAAACTGGGACATTCAAGCATGTACCTAACTACAGTGGCAAATGGGAAGTCACAGTTACTGAAAACCGACAGCAAGAAGCCAGTCACTGACTTTTAAACTAGAAAAACCACAGACTTAGCGCCGCAAAAACCTGAAGCACATTAACTTTCAGTATACTGAAATAGCCTATGCATGCAGCTGACAGGAGCACCAAATTTTAACTGTTTGTGCATTATAAAAATAATTCAGCAAAATTTTACTTTATAATGAACTTTCGCAAGTTCTGTTAAAGCCAAACTTACCTTGAGCTACAAAGCATGCATCCTATAGAATAATAAAATTAAAAAGTAAGCCTCCATATATTGGGATGTTCTGTACAGATAGGAACACATGCAAACCTGATTTTAAAACTGCCGTATCCATTGCCTGCAGGATGAATTCAAACTGGGATTTTCGCTTTCTGGTGATAAAAATTACACTGTGTCCATAGCTTGGTGCAATTCTGAAGCATTAAAGATTATGTGCGGTGAATAGTGAAAAAAAGCACCACAAAAAGCTGTCATTTTCACCATATCTGATTTTGTGCTGAGAGCTTTGGACCTGAGGATTTATTTCCAGCAGTCTCTCTGATGTGTTGTATTTCAATTGACCCGTTTTATAAAGTGGGATCAATTAACCTTTTCATTGAAAAATGCTTTCAGGGCAAATTATGTAGAGAAATATGCTGCTGCTCCCTTCTAAAATACTGGTACTGCCAAGCTGCACCACTGGTTTACATTACTAAAAAAGCTATGCATGCTTTATGACACCTTCCTTCCACTAAGAGGTGTGATAGTACTGCTTCAGTTCCTCTGAATTTTCAAGGTTGCTTAGGTTTTTGCCAATTCATTATTTTGTTCTTCCTCGATAGCAGAAAACTGTCCTTGTTGCCTGGAAGTTTAAAAAATGTGGAGAAGTTCTAAATGCCTCTCTCACTTCTGTGGTACGCATAGGTTTTACCTACGGAGTCATATCACTGTAGTACTGAAGTATTTGTAACAGTTACGGAACAAATTAAACTGAGTAACAACACAATGTACCAGCACCAAACAGACCCACAAGTTTTGAAGGAACTCAGAGAAGAAATAGCTGAATTAGTACTGGGGACAAGTAACATCTGGCAGCCCATCTCGGCTACCCAAGGACTGGGAAACAGCAAATACAGTGCCAGTTTTTAAAAACAGTTCCAGAAGAGATGTAGGGAACCACAGGCTGACAAGTCTGACACGCATGAAAAAAATAAACATTGTTAGTGGACTATTAGGAGTCCTCTAACTACCATTATCATTAGACCCAAAGAGCCGAAAAAATCCTAACCTCAGACTGGACAGAGTTCCAACTGAGACTTAGGAGAAAGACTTTGGGATTTCAAAAGACAGTTGCTAGTCTGATGAAGGTATCAGTTCAATGCTTAGTAGGGATCAATAAAGCAAACCAAAGCCTTAGGAATTACTAAGAAAAGGAGCAGAGAACAAAACAGATGCAACGTTATGTCACTGTGCAAATCCACAGGACATTCAGTTGTCAAATAGCGTCAGCAGCTCTGTTCCCTCCCCTTTGAAACAGGATGCGATAGAAGTGGAAAAGATTCACAGAAGGGCATCATGAATGATCAAAAGTGTGGAAAAACTATTGCTGAAAGAAAAATTCAACATGCTAGGACTCTTCTGTTTGGAAAAGAATGATGGAGGAATATGACAGAAGTTTACATAATCAGAAGTGACACGAGAGATCAAATGTTCCTTCCCACTTCCCACAAAAGAACTGAGCGGGTGTCAAATTAACCTTGTAGAAGCCACATTCTGCATAAATAAAAGGAGTCTGAGACTCCAGGAGAAAGGATGTTTTGGGTACTAATCAGTTTACAGTGGTTCAGGGACTGAATAAGCTTGTGAAAAGACTTCCACTGAAGGTTCCCAAAACTCACACTTCACCCAAAACACCTTCAGGGTGAAAACAGTTGGAAGCTTAGAAAGTAGAAGGAGATGTGTCACATACATCTGCCTCTTCTGGAGGCTCTGACTCACAGCTGCTGTCAGGAGCTAGACTTCAGCCAGCCACACTCACAAAACAGAAGTGCAGGTATTAAAGAATGTATCACAACACTACGCTGCTGCAAATATTTCTAGTTAGAAAACCCCTTAAGTTACTGTTAGCAGGCTAGTAGAAGGAACTTCTACTAAAGCTTCATTTTTGCTAGAAAACTGTTCTTTAACCGTTATCGTTACTTTACATTTGTTAACTGCATTATGTTCCTTGACTGGAAGACACTACATAAACTTTCCTACAGCTGCAAATAAGATAAATCTAATCCTTGAGAGGCTGTCAGAACATTTTATAATACAAAGTATTGGTACTTCAGGAAAACTGATAGCACTCAAAAGTTTTACTACTTAAACTGAAAGTTTTCCTTTGAATTATTTATCAGATATCACTTACCGTGGGCTTCCAGATCCTGCACTAAAGCATGGGTATCAAAAGTTACCTTCCTCTGCTCCAGGGGAGTGATTTCAACTCTTCTGACATCATATGACTTTCTAATGAATGTGGCAGCAAAACCTGGAAGTGACAACACGTGTTTTAAACTTAACCCAATTGGTTTATCATGCAATAGATTAATCTTAATTTCTTTCATCATAGCAAAGCTGCATGAAAGTCGCAAGAGAAAGCTGGGTGCTTTTGATAGTTCAGTTACCACACACATCAGGAACCATCAACCCCTTCTCCATAGGAAATCTATACTAACTAGGACACATATATCGATCTTAATTGCGTTTGTCTAGGTAGGAAGCTGTGCAACAAACACCCTGATACACCAAAAATAAACCACCGCAACCAATTGTTCTATAATATTTGAGAAACATCACCCTAAATTATTTTCCTACTTTTAAAACATCAGCAGTTCTAACACACTGCCAATTTCCGCTGGTTACAGCTAACATCATTCATTTGGTTCTTCACAGAATCCCTCAATCACACCCTTTGCACGCTTTCTTCTATCACTATTCTTTCCAGCAAGGAGAGTGCCATGTGTAAAGATAAAGCTACTGATTTTTTTTTTTTTTTTAAGAAAGTTATGCAAATCTAACGTTCAGAATGAACTTGTTGGTTCACCAGGAAAGTAACTGGGAAATAAAGTGATACAATGTTTGTACCTAAATACCTCAGACACAGGCATTAGTTAAGGATCCACCCTCTTTATTAAGTGAATGCTTTCCCACAAGATGTTTCCCTGCTTCTCCTACTTTATTTCAAGCAGGCTTTTCCCTTTATCTTACCTTTGGGGGGCCTTACACGTTACAGATTCCGACCTGATAGATTCTTTGTCATCTAAAAAGCCCTGTTACTTCTAAATCCACACTTCTTCGCAACCTTTCTCACTGCTGGCTCTCTGCCTTAAGCAAAATGTTGTTCTGTATCTTATCCAGACCTTTATTCAGAAGATTTATATAAACACAGGAAAGTTATATTGTGCCACTACTAGATAAATCAAGCTATGTGCTACCTTGTGTCGACTCTAAAGTGATTATAACTAAGCCAGCTGTAGTATCCAAACCAAAGTCTGTATAAAACTTAAGACAAAAAAAAGATTTGTGTTTAAGTGCATGAACACTGAATACTATGTACAAATAACGTAAAATACTTCCAAAATGTACTGTGGAATAAAACATTCTGTTTTCACTAAGCCATAACAACTTTTATAGACACAGCTCTTCATCCTCTAAATGGATCAGTGGATTATTCTTCTTTGAATTGAACATACATATTGTAGAGACATTCACTCAGAAAAGCTGATATTACAGCATGAAGCTTTTGGTTGCCAAGACATGCTGCTCTTTTTGCTATTGTTTTGCTCCTGTCTTGACTCAATCATAGAACCATTTAGGTTGGAAAAGACCCTTAAGATCATCAAGTCCAACCATTAACCCAACACTGCTATCCCACCATTAAACCATGTCCCTAAGCACCACACCTACCCAGCTTTTAAATATCCCCTGAGATGGGGACTCAACCACTTCCCTGGGCAGCCTGTTCTAATGCATGACAACCCTTTTGGTGAAAAAATTTTTCCTAATATCCAATCTAAACCTCTCTTGGTGCAACTTGAGGCCATTTCATCTTGTCCTATCACTTGTTCCTTGGGAGAAGAGGCCAACCCCCACCTCACTACACCCTCCTGTCAGGCAGTTGTAGAGGGCGATAAGGTCTCCCCTCAGCCTCCTCGTCTCCAGGCTGAACACCCCCAGTTCCCTCAGCTGCTCCCCATCAGCCTTGTGCTCCAGACCCCTCCCCAGCTTCGATGCACGGCACTCAGCCCAAAGCTGTCACCCAAAACTCACTGATGTTTTCACAGGCCGCATCTGAGACACCACTTGGCGATGACCTTCTGCACCCCTCGGCTAACTCCCATTGCGCCTCCCGTCTCAAACATTCTCCGTCAGGCCCCGTAAGCCACCGCATCGTCTGCTCTTGCCCGTGTAGCACAGCCCTTGCAGCACAGCCCTTGCCTCGGGCGTGCCGCAGCCCCAAAGGCAGGCGTGTTATGCTCCCGCCCC